TCCTTCCTTCCTTCCTTCCTTCCTTCCTTCCTTCCTTCTCCTTATAAGTGGGAAAGCTTCAAGGTTAAAACCAAGGATGCTTTCTGAAGAAGAAAGAGGCATTTCCTGTCATGTTGTGGTGAATAGGGTGGACATCAAAACATGGACAGCTTCTTGAAAATTCCAGTGCAGCACTCAAACAACATGGCTGTGATTCTGATGGAAGGCTGCTTGAGTGTAGGTGTGTGTGTAGGTGTCCTGCTGTCAGTAGACCACAAAAATAATATGGCAATGTACACTGAGACAGTTTGCACCCTGCCACTAAAACCAAACCACCCAGAAGACATAACTCTGCTTTGCACCCATGGTGATCAGCAAAAATAAAGGGGAACAATGTGTGGAGCTTAAATCTCTCTCTGTCCCCCTCACCCTGCTATCTGGGGCACAAACACTGTGAGAGTGTTATCTCTTCTCTCATAAAACATAGACAACCAATTCACTTGATAAATTCCAGTTTTATGTTTGTACAGTAGATGTAAAGTAAATGTTTCTCATCAGTGCATTGGCTTTATCTTGAGCTAGCACTGCTATTATTCCAGACATGACTTTTTCTCTTGAAACTTTTTTCACTTTCCCACCCTAGACTCTCTTCCTCATCACTTTGAAAGACAGCATTAATTCCTTTGACTCTGTGGTTGGAAGACACCTCTTTCATTATTTATACTTAACCTGGGTAAGGAGCACCAGCACGCCAGTTACAACTCAGGTGAGTGCAGTCAGAGAGGACCTGCCTGGGCAGGATGGATTCTCAATCCCATTCCAGGGGACTGTTCACAACCCAGGAGGGCGGAGAGAAAGCAGTTGTAGTAGCAGCTAAGTGGAAAAACTGGCTGAGCTGTGGAAGAGGAACAGGGAGGGGAAAATCCTAGGCTGGAAAAAATTCTCAGCTCTTCTTCTGGTCCCAAGGGCAGGGAGGCAAACTAGATCAGGGAACATGGAGCCTTAGTAGTTGCCCAGGAACTTCCAAGAGTTGTAAGCTACCCTCTAGAGGGGGGCAATGCTATAAAAAAAATCCAAAAAGAAGCACCTTGGGAAGTTGCCATTATGTTAGGATCTATACATCTCTTCAGTGCATGAGAATATAATCATTAGAGCAAGTACTGTACAGCAGATCAGGCCCAAGGCTTTTCTAGTCCTGCATTTTGACCGTGCAGTGATCCAGCAGATGCCTTTGAGAAGCCCACAAACAGAACAGGAAGGGAAGAGCCTCTTTCCACTCATATTTCCCAGGGTTCAGAGGCACACTTCCTCTGATTTTAGAGAGAATGGACAGCTATCCTGGCTAGTAGTTATTAGCAGTCTTATTCTCCAGAAATTTGTTTAATCTTCTTTTATGGTCATTGCTACATCTTGTGAAATTCCATAAGTTCCTGTGCGCTCTAGATGTACTTTCTTTCATCTGCCTTGAATGCTACACAATTCACCTTTACATGATGATCCTGGTTCTAGTGCTGTAAGAAAGACACATCCCTTTTCATCAGACCATCCATAATATTCTACACTTCTGTCAGGTCCTCCTTACTTGCCTTTTTAAATATATATTCCAAAGCCCCTTAGTAACCTTTTTCACAGGTTGCTCTTTTCTCCACCTTTCCCACTTATAGATCTGAAATGATATTTTTGGGGAGTTTGAATAAGAATGTTTTTCCATCACAAGAGAGGAACTGCCTGAGATGAAATCAGGCAACTTGTCTCTCCAGTCCAGTGGCTGTCCAGAGTGTCCAAGTCTTTCAGTGCCACTTGCTTTGTAAGAGTGAAGGAGGGAGGGGCAGAGACTACTTTAAATTACTTTTCAGAACTGTTGTCCTGCATTTTAATATTTCCTAGCAAAGCAGTACTGAAAGAAAATTGCCCTTCCTTCGAGAGCTTGAAACTTTGAAGTCAAGTTTGTATGAAGTTTTTAAAGAAATTAAAATATTTTTTAAAAATATATTGTCTCTCAGAAGGATTGTTTTAAGAAAGAGGTTTTTTGGGGTGGGATCAGTTATTTATTCATAATGCAATGCATTTTTGGACTGATGAAATTCAACTAACATGATCCTAACGCAGAGACACTGTAATTCCCAGAATTTCCAGCCAGAATAGTTCCTAGTTGCTGAGAATTCTGGGATTTACAGTCCCAAATCCATCTGAAGCAGGTGAGACCAAACAGGATGGCTAAGCTTCTAGCTAAGATGTCTGCTCCTATGTATTGAAGTTCACTGTTTCTTATTCCTAAAATGTCTTCTAACTGATTAACATTTAATTAAGGACATAATCCTTGTGCAGTGCACTTGTTGGACAAGTAGCTATGTACTCTGCTGCCCAAGAAACTGGTTCCAAACATTGCAGGAAACTAAGAGGGAGTGGAACAGCAAGAATGTCAAATTAGTTTACTTTACTGTCAGGAGCAGAATGAAATAAAAAGGATAAGGGAATCTGATGCATTAAGAGCCAGGGGAGTCGGATAACGTGCCCTGGTCATGTCATGAGTAACTTCCCATATCTTCCATCTGCAAATTGCCATATTTTCCAATCCAGAAACTGGAAAATCCTCCAAGCCCACCTCAGGGTTTGCTCCTTCGGGTACTTACCCACACATCTTCCTCTGACCTCTTCAAAACCAATGACACATAAGCATCTGCCCACTGGCACCAACCACTCCCCACTGGGACTGCAGTGCATCTTGGGTGGGACACCCATCTCCTCAGCCGCGTCCTTCAGACAGACACCAGGCACTTCCTTTAGTCCCTCAGCACTGGCAAGCGTCTCTGGAAAATGGGCCAGTCCACTAAGGGTGTCCGAACAGGTCTTGTAATACACTCTCACGGAAACCAACGCCACGCAGGCTCCTGAGTTCTGGAAAGCCAGATAAAACCCCCGCTGCTGTAGCTTCGTGATGGAGCATACCTCCATGTTCAACTGCAAGGCCCCCATCTCAACATCTCGAGCTGTGAAAATGCGGTCACCTGCCACAGTGTTGACCTGGAAGATAAAAGAACTCAAGTCAGTTGAGCCATCTGGTAGAACAAAACGTGGTCCCTTTCTGAAATGCAGCAGTTCATTAAGTAAATGAAGTATATTTGAATCCTCACCAATATTCAGAATTCCCTGCATGTGGAAAATAAGCATTTGGGGAGAGGAGTTTAATCTAGCTTTGTCCCCAAAATGCAGATTGTTTTTTTTTAACATAGATATTTTCTTTTCTTCTTTTTATCCTAATTCATTTATGCAATCTATCCCTACCCACCTCATTTTAAATCAGTTCAGCATATAATCTGAATTTGCCAATTAATTTAGCAGAAATCAGACATAAATTGGCTGTTGGAGCAAAATACTCAGCAGTGAAAGAGACATTCAAAAACAGCTGTATCAACATTTCCCTAGCTATTTGGAAAACAAAGGATTTGGCATAACTTATATTCCATCATGACATTCTAGGCTCAGCTAGGGTACTCAAACCAAGTATACTGTGTTCAATAATAAGGCTCTGACTAATAGAAAAATGTAAAATTAATCCCTTAAGACTACAGTATGTTAAAATGTTGCACAACAGCATTGAAATAGAATTAGACATTTGACACAGAAAGGAGACACAATAAGAGAAAGCTCAGAACCAATTCAGGTTACATCTAATTCAAGCAGTTTGCATTAGTTACAGGAACTCTTTCTTGCAATACCAAAAGATATTAGGAATAAAGAACAATTCATTCAGTCATTCTCTTCCTGTTTTGATTATATTATGGAGTTCTATAATAATCAGAAATATATACCAAAGAAAATCAATCTGAAAAATACATCAGAGAATAAAATGGTTTGAACTGAACAAAGAGACCAATGCAGAACATCACTAACAAGTAGAGAACAGATATAGGCTATATGATCCTGTATCATGTGAAGAAATCATGAAAGGACATAAAAGAAAATTGCTCGTCAGCCCTGTGGCCAGCAGGTTCTGACACGTACTTTTACTTAAATGGTGGAAAGATTTAGAAGAAAACATCTGTGGGATACCTCCAGAGGAATGACTTGCCCATACTTGTTATATCTTGGGCTTTATTGGTTGAAATCCAGAGACCATGTTGCCCAGCGTTTACCTGTCAACAAGGGCCAGAATCCAGATGTACAGCATGTCAAGACCCAGCATTCAGGAAAACACTGGTTATAAACATAGAGGCTCCCTTTAGAGAAGCTGACTAATAGCCCTTGAGAATGTGTAACATTTAATCCTGTGAAAACAAACAAACAAACATATGGCTACTGTTTTGACAGGGGGCTCATCTGGGTAAGAGCATAATGCACCAACAATATACTAACACCCATAAGCTGGTCAAAGGGTGTGAGCAAACTCACCTATGAAAAGGTGCCAAAGAATAGGAAAGTGAAAGACTGTTGCGGGAACTCTTGTACTCAGAACTCGTTTTCCTTTTTTAGTTGGTTGGTTTGGAAAATCCCAGGGGAACTCTCCCAAAGGCAAAAGCACAGGGAGCTTCTAGCAGATACGGAAAAGAGCAGCCTCATCTGAAAGGGACTCACTATTGAACTCCGTATCTGGTGATGCTGTTGAGAGGTTATTGTTCTTTTATGCGTGGGAATTAAATACAGTAATAACAATAGTAATAGCAATAGCCACTTGAAAGCAGCTTCTATGGTTATCACTGAGCCACACTTTCAAAAGTGGTGGGTCAAGACAAAAATACAAAAATTTTGAAATACTGATTTCACTTCCTTGAATTAAAATTAAATGTTCACATGATTATTCTCCATTCATGTAGAACGCCTGCCCCATTAAAACATACAATTGAAGAGCTGGGTTTTAGAGGCCTTGGGGTGGGGTCTCAGGTCGTGTATCTTTAATTAATTATATTAATTAAAACATTAATATAATGAAGCTAAAATTCTCTGGCACCCACTCCAGTGATGCAGAAGATTGCGCAACATCTTCAGTGGGGCTTGTGGGGGAGAACTTCTGAGTAGGTTTGTACTCTGAGTTAGCTCATTATTCTGAAACATTAAATTAAAATGCTAAACAATTCCATGAAAGGCTCCTGCCAAATTTGGACTCCTGCGTGCTCTGTTGAATTCAGTATGAGAATTCAGCACATGCTGACGCTCTCCCAGTCATGTATGCAGTAGGATGGCACCCTGTTTATTTACAGCTAATCATATTATGCAAAAATACAAACGCGCATGAACTATATTTAAAAGACTGAACGTAATGGCAAGTGTTGCTCAAAAAGAAACTAAATGCAAACACACAGAAGCCAATACAATAAAACAGTTTTAAAATGGGGTATGATTATGGCAGAGTTAAGGCAGAAGGGATAAGCCAGGGCCTCTGCTGCTTGTAATGCAGAGAGAAACGATCATGTGAATATTTTTAAATAATAGTCAGCAAATGACTATTTTAATCTTGCTTTAGATGGTGTTTGGATGGGTCCGTGGAGGTGGAATAAGATTCCTGGCCACCACATTCAAAGTCTGAAAGACTCTCACAAATTGCCCTCATGGAGCTCCCTCAATGCAAACAATACTGAAGAATCAGAGATCAAAATTCCATAGAGAGAATCCCTTGCATATATTTCTATGTCTGAAAGATCTTGCTCTTGATGAATGGATGGAAACTGGACACATATCCTCTCAGTACATACTCAAGTGAATATCACTGTTGTGGATGATCCACCAGTCCAAACTTTGATTCACTGGACATAAAGCAACATCAAGATCCTACCCACTAGAGAGCAGGGAACTGAGTTATGCTTCCTTTCTTACTCCATGTAACCTAGTTTTCTCAACCATTTTTTCATTATGGACCCTCTAAGGAGCCTTTTTTGACTTTTTTTTCCTAATCACCCCCATGAAATTTTAATATCTGTACTCTCTCTATATAAAACTTACTTTTTATTCAATGCAGGGTTAAGAATAACTATATAATTTTTTAAGTTAAAAGTTAAATTAAAAATTAAAAAGCTATTAACCTTTAACTTAACTTTATAACTGTATTTGTTGAGTATCTTCGTAATATATTTACTTATATAAATTGTAATGTATCACATTACAGATGTCAATTAGCAATTTATATAACTACAAAATAATAATAGCAATGCAATCATTTTTTAAAAAAAATCATTCAAAACTGTTACTTTTCCAGCAAAAATAAAACAATTGAAAAAAATAAATTAAATTTTTAAAAATTATGTTTTAGTGAACTTAACTTTTAACTTAACTAGTTTACAAAGGAAAGTTACATACCCAAGAATTATTCAATAGGATTCCTGAGCCTGATGTTTTTTTCACTAAAAGTTCAATGTTTGGTGTGATGTTAGTAAGTTTAATTCTAATTTTCCACTTGAACTTATATTGATTCTGTTTATTTCCTTGGTTAATATATTGTTTACTGAACTAAAGCACTTTCAGTCATATAAGATGTTGAAAAACAAAGAAGTTGCCATTGTAGACTACCATACACATCATCCATAGGGCAATCAGTGGTAGCCGATGGGCACACACAGGCCACCTCTCGCAATATGATTTTGAGACTGAGCAATTGATCGACAGGAAGTCCTCCAATCCCAGCCATCTATTGGCCATAGTACTGATCTTGCATTCATTTTGTGTATCTTCCACGAACTCAGTGTCAATGCTCTTTGTGGGATTCCCAAGAAAACCCAACAAGAGAAATTAAACACTAATACTAATAAGATTTGGAAGGGTAGGGTTGAGCCTAAATCATCTATATTCTATTTTCACCAAACAAAATACATTTTATTTTGACATACTTTTATTTGGAGTACAGCAGTCATCACATCACTCCAAAGGAGCTCCTGAACTGGGAAAATTGCACATGCCTGTTTGAAAGCATGGCCTCTGCAATAATTTAGCAGCTAGTCCATAATCCTGTTCTCTATGGGAGCAGAGTTATACATAAAATTGAAGTTATCCATGAGTCTCTCCTCCTCTGTCTTAGCTTTTCAAGTTACATATATTAGCAGTATGCGAGGACTACCTGTAGTGAGTGCACCTTCTAGAGCAGAATAACTTCAGTTTTTATGTAGGGTAAAACTCCCTTTAGTACAAATATAGATTGATTGGAATTACCCCATAATGCTATCCTATAAAAGACACTCTTGGCTTTGCAGAATCTCTGAAAATTCTTGACCATGACAAAATTACGGGCCGTCATCCAAATACAGAGCATCTCAGCTTCTAAACCAAGTAATTGTTTCACATCAGATATAGTCTTCCTGACTGAAAATTATCTGCATCTAACTCACTATGTCTGAGGAACAAACTAGTGCATGTAGCTTTGTGACTACAAACAGGTTATCACAAGTTTCTGATCATTCTGCCACCTTTTTACTTCTGAATACTTCTGTATTTCGAATGCATGTAAGGAATCTGGCTAATCTCCAAGTCAATCTTGAAATTGAGGGTTTTCATCAGTGATGAGGAATTGAAGAACTTGGCTAAGGATCATGTACATTTTACTTTTTTAAAAAAAAATTGCACAGCCTCATACATACATATATATGCTGTATGTATGTATGTGCTCCTTGTGGGGGAGTTGGGCGTATATATATATGAATGAATGAATGAATGAATGAATGAATGCAGTGCTGAGTTAACAAAAATGGATTTCTTTTCATCATCATGGCCTTGATGTATCACAACAGAAAGCTTACCATTTCTGTCAGAGTTTACCGCTGGCTCCAAAGAAGCCTCATCCTTGTTAGAATTTCACTGAATACATCAACCCAACAAGATCTGGGATGTGTAATCTCTTTCCACGTATGGAACAAGGGCCTTACTCTGCCTGTTTTCTAGTACATTCCTATATTTTTGTGCTTATTCCCTGGGACATCCCTATCCACAGTCTATATTCTTATGATTCCAAAATACTGCTATCACACTCAGCCATGCAAAGAGCCAAAGAACTGTAAGAGTTTGGAGTTGAAAAGGACCACAGGGATAATCTAATCCCACTCTCTGCCATACACAGGACAACCATCCCTAACAGCACCTGCTAGCCTCTTCTTAAGGACCTTCAGAGATGGAAAAACCACAACCTCTTAGGCTGTTTCACTACTGAACAGATCTTACTGGCAGGTACAAAACGTAAATAGCTGCAACTTATACTCATTATTTCTGGGCTTAGTTTCTGGGGCAATGTAAAACAGTTCCTGACCATCTTCCCTATAATACCTTTTTATGTACCTGAACACCGATGTCATGCTTCCCCTCAGTCTTCTTTTCTCCAGACTGAATATCCCAAGTTCCTTCAGCCTGTCCTCATAGGACAAGTCCCTGTATCATCTTTGTCATCCTCCTCTGACCCTTGTCTATCTTGTCAATATTCCTCTGGAAATATGGTGCTTAGAACTGTACACCGTATCTAGGTGTAGTCTCACCAATGCAGAATAGAGGGAAGTAATGCAGCCCAAAACTACATTATCCCTTCTACCAGCTGCCTCTTGTTCAGCTTGTTGTTCAATGACCGCACCCAAGTCCTTCTCAACTGTAGTGCTTCCAAGCTATGAATCCCCTGTCTTGTCTGTGTGTCTTATATTTTTTCTCCCTAAACATAATACCTCAAATTTGTTTCTGATGAGGAACATCTCGTTCCTCTTGGCCTGGTCTTCCAAACAGTTCAGAGATTGCAGTCTCTTGTTTTCTTCAGTGATTGTTTAGTCTGTCCATTAGAAGTTCAAAGTTCCTTCCAACCTTTTCATTCTTATGCTGGCTGTCACCAAGCTGAAAATGTAGACATTTACTGCGTTCACCTTGCTTTTGCTGTCCTTATTTCTTCTTTCCCCATTGTTGACATTCTGGACCTTTCTTCTGCTTATGAACTCTGTACACAGAAGATACTATATAAAGGAACAGCTACCATTTTGTAAATCTTTCTGCAATACTTGCCCTTCAACCCTGAGGCTCTTCCTGGGCTCACTGTTTTTTTCTGTGCAATTTTTCACTTTGTAAACTGCCACAGTCCCTGGGAGGCAGAGGTGTAAAAATTAAATAAATAAACGGAGAAAGAAAGAAAGAAAGAAAGAAAGAAAGAAAGAAAGAAAGAAAGAAAGAAAGAAAGAAAGAATAAACCCAGCTCACTTTATTGAAGAGAGGACGGCGGAACTGGATGCCAACATCTTGGTCTGATTCCATGTAGTAGAGGTTGAATGTCTCCTTGCAGCTCACCATCTCTCCTTTGAAACTCTTGCAATCTCGAATGGTGAATTTCAGTTCCACAAAGATGCGAGAAGAGGCCTCCCCTCGGAAGATCCAGTTTGTGCGGAGCCAGTGGTCGGTGTCTCCTTCAGAGAGGACGCTGCAGTCCTGGTACATATATATAGGAGTCCCATTTATCATCTGTTGCACCTCACTCCACTGCACATGAGAAGGAGAGAAGATTGAAGACAAGTGAACTGAAGTTCTTGACAGGTTATTAAAGAAGCATTGCAGTGTTGTTGTTGGCATGGTAATGGAATCATCATCCTCATCCTCATCATCATCATCTAAACATCTGACTGACTACGTGACCCATCATCATCATCATCATCATCATCATCATCATCATCAATCATCAGAATAATGGTATCTATTCTTTGTCTACAGGGCAGATGGATGGATGGATAGATGTAGATGTTTTTAAAGAAAAGACATATATGCATATACTGGCACTCATGAAAAAACTCTTCCAATGTTTGCCCTCACCTCCATGTTATCTTGATCTGCCAAGCTTCTCTTGCTTTCTTTTTCTCTCTTTCTCTGTCTCATCGAAACTTAGGCTGTAAATCTGGTTGTCACATGCCTCTTTGCTCATGCTCATCGGTTGTTGCTTTTTTTAATTTATTTAAATGACACATTATGCAGCAGATCAGATTTCTTTTTTGTTTGCTTTTACTTTAAAGCAGCTGCACTGAAGGGCACCTATCAGTTTGATCAGCAAATGACTCTGGGGTGGGTCTGTTCAACTTTGTTGTGCCATTTGTTGACCTAAGATGCCCTGATGAAGCGACTGCAATAGGGGGATGATTATTTCAATGTGCTTTTGCTCCTGCTGCTACCTCATGCAGCACCAGTCCTATTTCTAATCTTTGCAGAGGCACCACTAAACAAAATATCCAGTTTTTAATACCATTATTTATTCAATTTATATCCCATTTTCACTGGGGAGCTCAAGGCGGCATATAGAGTGCTCTGTCCTCCCTCTTTCTCCCACAAGAACTCTGCGAAGTAGGTTGGGCTGAGAGAAAGTGACTGGCTGAAGTCGCCTAGTGAGTTTCTGCTGCTGAGGGTGGAGTAGATCCCAGGTCCCCTGCTTGTCATCCAAGCCCTTAACCACTACATCACTCTGTCTCTCAAAGGGTCACCTGACAATTTGATAGGGCTAAAAATAACCGGAATCGCTTCCCAAAAGTCAATTGCAAAACACAGAAGAGCATCCATTCATTGCACACGCTTCACCACTGCGTGCCTACTCAAAAGTTAGTAAGGCTGGAGGTGAAAAAGCAGCTTCTCTGCATGCCTGTTTCAAAGGGAGGCTCACCAGTTTCAGGGCAATTTCTTCCCAGGTCTAAGACTGCAGTCACCTTACAGAGAATTACAGCATGAAGTTGCCACATAAATAACTCAGCAGCAGGTTCTCCCAGCCTCTGACTTTTTTAATTTTGGCCAATGCAAAATCATTTATGGTACAGTTTTCCCCCTGCAGAAGTGTGAATAAATTGTTATCTGCACAGTGCAATTATATACAAGCCTATTTAGGAGGCAGTCCAAATGAGTTTTTAGTGAGGCTTATTGCCAGGTATCCCAGAGAATAATCACACTGCAGCCTTCTTCTGTATAATTAAACAATGCATAAGCAGAACTCAGCAGCACAGATTGTTTTCTGCAAGTTTGCAGCAGTTTCTGAACAAAATTCCTTCACTTCCCCCTCCCCACCTTCTGAATAATGGCTTATAATATGTGGAAGAATATACTCAGGAAAAACCACACACACACACACAAACACAGACAATTTTTTTCCTACAAAGTTAAAAGATAAACATGAAAAAATACAGGAAAAAAGTAGAAAAGGAATAGAGATAAAGAAAAAATGTTGAAAACAATAGAAAGCAAAGTAAAAGAAAAAGGAAAAAACCCAAAAGTGACTTTCGATTTTTTTTACATACTTGATGGCATTTCCCCCCTTCAGAATTCCATAATGTAGTTCTCCCCATATACAGCCCTTGTTAATAGGTAAATCCAGAGATCACCAGTTCATTTTTATCCATTTTCAACAAAAAGTCCATAAAGCGTTTCCCTGCATTGAGGCTATGATACTTGGGACAAATACTCTGTAGTCTTTATATAAATGGAACAAATGTAAACATTTAAAAAATTGTATGTTGGGGAAAAATAGGCTTAAACCTTTATTTCTGACATATTCAGTTTTTATGGAGATAATACTGTTATTATTTTATATCTGTGAGCCCCCTTGCAGATACAGGTCTGAATTAGGTCTTAGTGGACTCCAAAACATGACTGAAAGTTATGATAATAAAAGGAAAAATATTATGTGGATCATCTGTCAGAACCGGAATTCTAATGAATTATTCTATGGTGGACGGCATAAAACAGAATTATTTCACCTGAAGGGCCTCTGTACAACATGGAGATATGACCCTGGGACCATCTACAGGAGCAAAATCTTTTTTCCTACACCTCACAGGCCAGTTTGGGCACACTTCAAAAATGATTTGTAAACAGTGGTTTGGACCTGGTATGAATGCGGTACTTCGCTGCTGTTGATTAAAGCAGCTCATCTTTTTACAGGCATCTCCATGAGCCCGAGTAAGAAACGCTGTTGCTTTCAGGTGAAGCCAAAAGTCTTTCTTCCAAATCAGTTTCAAAGGGGGAGTAGCCATACGCCATACGATCTGTGGCGATTAGAGCTGAGCTCTTGTCAACAGCATCCAGTATGATACATATTCCTCTTCTAATACACAAGATTGTTAGTCTTCCAGTCTGCCCTGCAGGAATCAGCAAGCAATTAAGGGGGCAGTTTTCCCTTACCTATTCAATCACAAGTTCCTGAATGAAGTTCAGAAAACATAAGTTCGTAACCGGATGTGCAAAAAAGTATGTGCTATGAGTGTGTGTCTGTACATGTGTAGATACATGTACATGGATAAGACACAGCAAAAAGAAAACTATCTTTTTGTATGTATTGCTTGGTTTAGAGAGGATTAAATATGAAATATAGTTTCATAGTGGCTTTTGCCCCAACTGAGACCAATGGCATTGTTAAATAAACCAACCCATGCACAAACAACTATCTTTGTCTTATTACTTGTCGTATATCTGGATATCAAAGGCATATAATATTAATGGATTAAATAATAATATTTAAAATATTATTAAATCCATGGATTTAGTAGAAAAGATTAATTTACCAATTCGTTCTTTGGGGGGGGGGTGGCATCGTCTGGCTATTAATGGCAGCCACCCATGTGGGAGAAAAATGTTCTTTAAATGCCACTGTAGGTGGAAAAGGCACTGTAATAATATCACAACAGATTTGTTTCCTGTGTAGCAACTTATGAAAATCTACTTCCATTAGAGACAGACAATTTTTAAAAAAAAAATCCATATTGGAATTATCAAGCCATTGTCTGTGACAAAACGAGGAAACAAGATTCTGGGGCTTATTGACACTGTAAAATTATATTGGATGTTATAAAACAATCATGGTATCTTCAAGGCCTCTTGGGAATTGTAGTTTAGTGGAGGTAAAGATACTACTGTTAAACACCACTGGATACCCTCAAATAAATAAAGAGAAAGATAAACCCTCTATATATTCTTTGCAATAGTGCTTCAATACATATTAAAACCTTGAATTCTTTGGAAGACTCTCAAATCTTTCCTTCTTTTCTTTTAAATATAAGTAATCAGGCAATTACATTCCCTGGAAAATTACTCAGCTAGAATGTTTTAAAAATAGCTTGTGATTTAGAATTTTGTCTCCCTCAAAATGACCCCCTCCTCCCCCACATGCATATATTGCCTATCAGAAAATTTGTAATTTTGACTTGGCCCTCAAAGGGTTTAAAATGAAGTTTTAGAAAAATGAAATGTTGTTTTTAAAAAATCATGTAGTTTTAAGAGGTCACCTATGTGCAGATAAAGGGGGACACGGTGGCGCAGCGGCTTAATGACGCTGAAAGTTGCCGGCCAGAAATGGCTGATGCTTCCGCGGTTCGAGTCCAGCCTTCGCATTAAACAGGGTGAGCTCCTGTTTCCTCCCCAGTTTCTGTTCACCCA